CCATGGCAATCAACGTGTTAAAGCAAATGACAAATTTATATCTCTAGTTCAGCGATCGTTTTCTCGTTTCGTTCACCGACACAATGGCTCGGTCGTAATTCGGACGATTGTGTTGGACGCTTCCGATCCGCACATAGCGACTCGGGAGCGATTCAGTGTTCAGCTGTGGTCGTGAAAAATTATAGGATGACGCATGTACAACATGATTAATCGCGTTCTACGAAACTGACTAGGTGTATCGCGCGTGATTTGCCCGTTTTTCGAAGGAACAAACGATTGTAGCGAGAAGCGAGATGTACAACGAGAGGCACTCTGACTCGACGCGAATCCTTGAATCGTCGCGCCTTCGCACGGCCCGATGATTCACACGATCGACGCTCTTCCCATCAACGCGTCCGTTAGATCTCTTTTTCTTTTCCCTCTTCTCTTTATTCGATGCGCGTCGCCGGTCGGCTCGGCCTTCGTGGATTTTTGAGCGTGATCGACCGGCTATGGGGCTGGGTTAAACGCGAAAAGAAACAAAAAACAAAGTAACTTTGTGACACGAGACGTAGAGAATTTCAATAAATATCTGCGCTTGACGGACGACTTGCGAATATAAATAATCCGGCGACTCTTAAATATGGTTGATGATTGCGAAACGCATATCGAATTTATCTAATACTCACTTATCGACTTGCACTGCTGAAAAAGGACGCATCTCTTATCGGGAGAGGGAGTCATTCGAGACTCCCCGACCTCAATCGAAGCACTTCCCCTTCTCCGGGAGGGAGATCGATATACTCACTCCCGTTCTAACGTTTCTAACGTTTCGAGAACTTCCGGGGTAGCGAGTAACGGAATACTCGACAAACAGAATCCACTTCGATGTTCACGAGGCGCGTGAAGTCCCGAAAGAAACCTCGCACGATCGCGTGCACGGCACTTATTAGGGCGACGCAAGCAGTAATTTCGGCCACATTCGCACGTAATTTCTCATCCGAGCTCCATAACTGCCGCGCGCGGTCGGCGATTACTCGCACAACTACGCGAGCGCGAATAATAAACTTCGGACTTTCGGGCTATTATTTATCCAGGTCAACGCGGCTCTCCGCGGAAATCCGATATTCGATATAAAATGGGTTCCGCGAGACTCCATCGATTCAAGTAGTGGCTCCCTTTGGACCGTCGAAACATCTCTCGACTGGAGTCAATCTTGTCGATTGCGAATAAAAAGCACATACGCGGTAAAAAGATCAGCGACG